TCAAAGGTTCTCAGGCGCCCCAGAATGTGGCTGTAAAGTAGCCATAAAGAGGTGGGGAAGGAAAGAGGCCTTTTGGTCCTTGAAGTATACTGCTTCTCCTTGTTGTTGGTGGTGTTGGTGTTGGAGGTGGATCTCCAGCACGCTGCCCCAGGGACACAAGGCAGATTTATGACACGAGGAGACGGGTGAAGAGAAATCTTACAGTGTAAGAACGTTCCTCTCTGCGCAGAACGTTGTTTTTTTCCACAGTCGTGTAACATGAGTGTGAAACATGAGACTCTTATAAGTTAACAGTCTGGATTAGTGACGCTTTTCACTCTGTCTCACTAACACGTAATATGATTGATAAATCTTCAACTTTTACCAACAATCGCAATTCACTAAGAATTTTAACCGTGTAGAGTCAAGCCTCTGATGAGGCTGGGGAAACGCCAGATCTTCAAAATCGATGTATATTTCCTTCTTTGAACCTGTTTCTTTCCTTTTCATTAATGTTGACAGTACGCTGCTGTATCTTGGCCTCATGGACACTCATTGCCACTTTCAAGATGGCTATTTTCATGAGGCTATTAGTCTCACTACAGCCTAGTCTTGGTCTCCTATTTTTCGGTGAATTCCAGTCTGAAGGTACTAGTTCCCTGTGTGTGTGTGTGTGTGTGTGTACTCACCTATTTGTACTCGCCTATTTGTGGTTGCAGGGGTCGAGTCCTAGCTCCTGGCCCCGCCTCTTCACCGGTTGCTACTAGGCCCTCTCTCTCCCCGCTCCATGAGCTTTATCAAACCTCGTCTTAAAACTGTGTATGGTTCCTGCCTCCACTACGTCATTTTCTAGGCTATTCCACTGCCTGACAACTCTATGACTGAAGAAATACTTCCTAATATCTCTCTGACTCATTTGTGTCTTCAACTTCCAATTGTGGCCTCTTGTTTCTGTGTCCCCTCCCTGGAACATCCTGTCTTTGTCCACCTTGTCTATTCCACGCAGAATTTTATGTCGTTATCATGTCTCCCCTGACCCTCCTGTCCTCCAGTGTCGTCAGGCCGATTTCCCTTAATCTTTCTTCATAGGACATTCCCCTTAGCTCTGGAACTAACCTTGTCGCAAACCTTTGTACTTTCTCTAGTTTCTTGACGTGCTTTATCAAGTGCGGGTTCCAAACAGGTGCTGCATACTCCAGTATGGGCCTGACATACACGGTGTACAGTGTCTTGACCGATTCCTTACTAAGGTATCGGAATGCTGTTCTCAGGTTTGCCAGGCGCCCATATGCTGCAGCAGTTATCTGATTGATGTATGCTTCCGGAGACATGCTCGGTGTTATACTCACCCCAAGATCTTTCTCCTTGAGTGAGGTTTGCAGTCTTTGGCCACCTAGCCTATGCACTGTCTGTGGTCTTCTGTGCCCTTCCCCTATCTTCGTGTGTGTGTGTGTGTGTGTGTGTGTGTGTGTGTGTGTGTGTGTGTGTACTCACCTATTTGTACTCACCTATTTGTGGTTGCAGGGGTCGATTCACAGCTCCTGGCCCCGCCTCTTCGCTGATTGCTACTAGGTCCTCTCTCTCCCTGCCCCATGAGCTCTATCATACCTCGCCTTAAAACTATGTATGGTTCCCGCCTCCACTACGTCACTTTCTAGGCTATTCCACGGCCTGACTACTCTATGACTGAAGAAATACTTCCTAACATCCCTTTGATTCATCTGAGTCTTCAACTTCCAATTGTGACCTCTTGTGTCTGTGTCCCTTCTCTGGAACATCCCGTCTTTGTCCACCTTGTCTATTCCGCGCAGTATTTTATATGTCGTTATCATGTCTCCCCTGACCCTCCTGTCCTCCAGTGTCGTCAGGCCGATTTCCCTCAACCTTTCTTCGTAGGACAATCCCCGTAGCTCTGGGACTAGTCTTGTTGCAAACCTTTGCACTTTCTCTAATTTCTTGACGTGCTTGACTAGGTGTGGATTCCAAACTGGTGCTGCATACTCCAGTATGGGCCTGACGTAAATGGTATACAGTCTTAAACGAATCCTTACTGAGGTATCGGAACGCTATCCGTAGGTTTGCCAGGCGCCCGTATGCTGCAGCAGTTATCTGATTGATGTGTGTTGTGTGTGTGTGTGTGTGTGTGTGTGTGTGTGTGTGTGTGTGTGTGTGTGTGTGTTCCTGGTGCAGTATTAAGGATGACACAGCTACCTTCCTCTCCCCCCACCAATTAACGAGTCCCCGTACCGGTGTTCTCGTTAGGGACGATCACAACGATACCTTGTCAACTGAGTAGTCTGTTCACGTGTATCAACATGGGAACACTGACCTCCTTTTGTCGCTGCACAGAGCTCTAGAGCACTAGTCAGTGAGCTTTTTGAACTGCTCTTTCATATAGAGGATATAACGATTACGTAAGTAGTGTCGATTGTTTGAGCTTTGACGATTGTTACGAGCTTCATCGATCGTTTAAGTTGACGTGGTCGCAAAATATATAACAATAGAAATAAAGGTACAGACGGGAAACATTGAGCGTACATTACATGACACAAAAGGCAAACGAAGAATTGAAATGAATAACTGTAGATAAAAGCAATGTTGTTATGACTACAGAACACAGAGAGAGAGAGAGAGAGAGAGAGAGAGAGAGAGAGAGAGAGAGAGAGAGAAGAGAGAGAGAGAGAGAGACATACCTGAAAGATGTTGACATACGACCCTTAACTTCAAAATAATATTAATGCTGGTGACTAATGCATAAAAGTCAATGCTTCAAAAAAATTTTGGTGTAATGGGGGTAAGAAATCCTACAGATTTACAATTCTGCCGCAAAATCTATCAAAGAAACCACTTGCCACGGTTTTTAAGACCGGTATGTCAAAGACTCAAGTAGGTGAACCGGCCCGGTGGCCTGGTGGCTAAAGCTCCCGCTTCACACACGGAGGGCCCGGGTTCGATTCCCGGCGGGTGGAAACATTTCGACACGTTTCCTTACACCTGTTGTCCTGTTCACCTAGCAGCAAATAGGTACCTGGCTGTTAGTCGACTGGTGTGGGTCGCATCCTGGGGGACAAGATTAAGGACTCCAATGGAAATAAGTTAGACAGTCCTCGATGACGCACTGACTTTCTTGGATTATCCTGGGTGGCTAACCCTCCGGGGTTAAAAATCCGAACGAAATCTTATCTTATCTTGTCCAGAGTTTAGATCAGAACATTTATGAGGAATGTCTATGAGGAATATTTCTTTACGATGAAAGCTGAGTAAAGATTCTCCTTCTCTTTAACGGATTTTTAATTTTTCCCTCACCTACTCTTTCCTTCTCCTCTTCCTCTTCCTCCCCTCTTCTTCTCCTTCCTCTTCTTCCTCTTTTTCTCTCTTTTTCCTCTAATGCATTTCCTTCCTTTCCTGTCCTCCTCAGTCTCCCCTTTATTATTATTATTATTATTATTATTATTATCACTATTATTATTATTATTATCCCTGAAGGGGCATCATTAAAAGGCTGACCTTTTCTTTTTACTTTTTTTTTTCTTCTTCGTTCAATGTTTTTCGATTTTTTACCTCTCATAACTGTAGAACGCCTCGAGTTATGAGCGATAGAGAGAGCCAAATCCTATGAACAACTGGCATGTTCACATTCTCATGGACCAAAGTTGTTAAATTCATCTCTCCCAGCATCCTGTTATGGCTCTGATAACCTGCAAAATCCTCAGTGGTTCAGCTTTTGTCAAAGGTAAACAAAAAAAGGGGAAAAATACGACGAGGCAGGAGGGTAAAATTAGGATGTGTCCTGTAAGTTGTCACGGGTCAGTTTTATTACTGAGACTGGTTTCCGTGACATAATTTGGAGAATGTGTTGATTATAAATAATTCGCAAGTGTTGAACTTTGGTTATCGTAGGTTCATCTTAGTGTTCTTGTATTTGTCAATAACATCGATGTCTCCTAAAGACCATTCTTTAAAATTCTGTATGTTATGTACAGTAAGCTTACTTAAATCTTCTTACTTAAAGCTTCTTACTTACTGTACCTACTTTCTTAAGAGATTGCCAGTCTTGCTTGGAGGAAAGCGTGGATCAATTTCAACCTGTTTAGGTCCCAGTTTGTTTTTTGGAAGATGGTAAAGTTTGAAATATTGCTTTTCATGCGACTAACTTCGGAGTGTTTTATCTGATTATTCTTAATTCTTCCATAATGATTAATTAATAGCACAAGTCTGAGCAGCTTCAAGGTTAATACGCTTCTGTATTTAACGAGATTAGTCCTTTTGGTTTCTGAGAAAAGTCTGAATTATATCTGGGCTCTGTAAATGTTCTAATTTACCATTACTATTGAAGAAAAAGTTAGATATTAATTTCCTTGTGATGATTTGTGAATGCCTCGTGTGATCCCCATCACATCCTCAACGCTATTATTCAATTGCATAATCAACTTATGCCTCACTCTGCACTACTCTACTCGCGAGCATCGAGGTAGAGGGGGCTGGGGCTGTGGAAAACTGGGATACCTTCAACGGATCTCGCAGCGAACGAAATTTATCTGGTTATTAATATTAGTCACATCGTCGTCTAAACCTATGCTTGTTTCACCTCTAAAGTTAATTTTAGATATTGGAGAGAGAATGAGCGATGACTCTAAGGACTATCCTTCATGAACGTGAAGCTGTGTATCTCCTCCTATCTTACCCAACAAGTGTCATTTATCATTTTTTATCCCATCCTCAGTGTCGGGCGTAGAGTGACGCTGCATGAAAGGTTACTAATATATATATATATATATACAATATTATATATCTATTATATAGTAATTATACAATCAGAATATATATATATATATATAATAATAACACGCTAGATAGCGGATTCTTGCTACTCCTACTTAACTTGGTCACACTTCACAGACACGCACATGCATTCTATATATATTCATACATACTGTCATAGGTTTTTTCTCCTTTTTCTAAATACTCTTGTCTTTTATTTTTCTATGTCCATGGGGAAGTGAAAGATCTTTCCTCCGTAAGCCATGCGTGTCGTATGAGGCGACTAAAATGCCGGGAGCAATGGGCTAGTAACCCCTTCTCCTGTAGACATTTACTGAAAAAGAGAAGAAGAAAAACTTTATAAAACTGGGATGCTTGAATGTGCGTGGATGTAGTGCGGATGACAAGAAACAGATGATTGCTGATGTTATGAATGAAAAGAAGTTGGATGTCCTGGCCCTAAGCGAAACAAAGCTGAAGGGGGTAGGGGAGTTTCGGTGGGGGGAAATGAATGGGATTAAATCTGGAGTATCTGAGAGAGTTAGAGCAAAGGAAGGGGTAGCAGTAATGTTGAAGGATCAGATATGGAAGGAGAAAAGAGAATATGAATGTGTAAATTCAAGAATTATGTGGAGTAAAGTAAAGGTTGGATGCGAAAAGTGGGTCATAATAAGCGTGTATGCACCTGGAGAAGAGAGGAATGTAGAGGAGAGAGAGAGATTTTGGGAGATGTTAAGTGAATGTATAGGAGCCTTTGAACCAAGTGAGAGAGTAATTGTGGTAGGGGACCTGAATGCTAAAGTAGGAGAAACTTTTAGAGAGGGTGTGGTAGGTAAGTTTGGGGTGCCAGGTGTAAATGATAATGGGAGCCCTTTGATTGAACTTTGTATAGAAAGGGGTTTAGTTATAGGTAATACATATTTTAAGAAAAAGAGGATAAATAAGTATACAAGATATGATGTAGGGCGAAATGACAGTAGTTTGTTGGATTATGTATTGGTAGATAAAAGACTGTTGAGTAGACTTCAGGATGTACATGTTTATAGAGGGGCCACAGATATATCAGATCACTTTCTAGTTGTAGCTACACTGAGAGTAAAAGGTAGATGGGATACAAGGAGAATAGAAGCATCAGGGAAGAGAGAGGTGAAGGTTTATAAACTAAAAGAGGAGGCAGTTAGGGTAAGATATAAACAGCTATTGGAGGATAGATGGGCTAATGAGAGCATAGGCAATGGGGTCGAAGAGGTATGGGGTAGGTTTAAAAATGTAGTGTTAGAGTGTTCAGCAGAAGTCTGTGGTTACAGGAAAGTGGGTGCGGGAGGGAAGAGGAGCGATTGGTGGAATGATGATGTAAAGAGAGTAGTAAGGGAGAAAAAGTTAGCATATGAGAAGTTTTTACAAAGTAGAAGTGATGCAAGGAGGGAAGCGTATATGGAGAAAAAGAGAGGTTAAGAGAGTGGTGAAGCAATGTAAAAAGAGAGCAAATGAGAGAGTGGGTGAGATGTTATCAACAAATTTTGTTGAAAATAAGAAAAAGTTTTGGAGTGAGATTAACAAGTTAAGGAAGCCTAGAGAACAAATGCATTTGTCAGTTAAAAATAGGAGAGGAGAGTTATTAAATGGAGAGTTAGAGGTATTGGGAAGGTGGAGGGAATATTTTGAGGAATTGTTAAATGTTGATGAAGATAGGGAAGCTGTGATTTCGTGTATAGGGGAAGGAGGAATAACATCTTGTAGGAGTGAGGAAGAGCCAGTTGTGAGTGTGGGGGAAGTTCGTGAGGCAGTAGGTAAAATGAAAGGGGGTAAGGCAGCCGGGATTGATGGGATAAAGATAGAAATGTTAAAAGCAGGTGGGGATATAGTTTGGAGTGGTTGGTGCAATTATTTAATAAATGTATGGAAGAGGGTAAGGTACCTAGGGATTGGCAGAGAGCATGCATAGTTCCTTTGTATAAAGGCAAAGGGGACAAAAGAAAGTGCAAAAATTATAGGGGGATAAGTCTGTTGAGTATACCTGGTAAAGTGTGTATATATAATATATATATATAATATATATATATATATATATATATATATATATATATATATATATATATATGCATCTCCAGCCAGCAGGTTCTGTGGTTCTATAAATTCACCTTGAAATCAGGAACGAACACACACTTTCCGTACGCTCAGACAGCCACATACCACACACACACACACACCACACACACACCACAAACACACACCCCACACACACACACACACACACACACACACACACACACACACACTTCAAACACTGCCTCAAGGGGACCTCTCCGCTTCTCTGGGCAAATACAGCGCAGGGAGTTTACGTTGCGATATACAAAAGATAGTGAGAAAGTTTTATGATTTCCCCGGCCATGTTTTGTGTGTATTGTCACCATGCTGAGTGTAACCTCTCCCCTTCTGCCTCTGTTGTGTCACCATTATTGTCACTGTAAATCTGCCTTCCTGCCAACACTGCTGCTATCAGTCTGACCTGCCATCTCTCAGCCACTGTTGTCAGTCTGACCTGCCATCTCTCTTCCACTGTCGTCAATCTGACCTGCCATCTCTCTGCCACTGTTGTCAGTCTGTCCTACTATAGTGCCACCACTTTTGTCACACTGACCTGTAATCTCGCCCAAACTGACCTGCCATTTTGTCAACATTTATCAGATTGACGAGCCTTCCCACTAGCTCTTCTGTTATCTGGCTTTTGTTTATAGACTACTGTCGTTACTCTCATGTTTTCAGACTCCTGTTGTTGCACCTCTTTTAGCAGACTTCTGTTTTCAGACTGCTGTTGCTGTACTAACATACTGCAAGATTTCCACCAGATTTAACGCTTTTGGTGTAATTATCTTCAGAAAAAGACTCGCTACAGTGTCAAAAATTTTTAATCCCGTCAAATCGTGTCCAATAAATTACAGGTTTGGTGTTTCAGAACGACTTCAGTATTTAATTACTAATGCGTAGTAGGGACAGAATTGTATCCATTAACCTTTTGTGGGCTTTTGTGTTGACAAATTTGTTAATGTAGCAAAATAATAAAAAAAAAATGCAATCTTTTTAATCCATGCCATAACTGGAGAATGACTCATCTGATCGGCTTCAAATTTTCACCACTGGTGTGGTTTCTACTACTACTACTACTACTACTACCACTACCACTACGCTTCTTTTTCTTCCTCTCTTGGTCCCGTCCCTGTTCAGGTCACCTACATATACTATCTCTGTCTCTCTTTATATATACTAGAAATGGGAGGGGTTGGATTTGAGTGGGACTTTCACATCATAGCTTATTTCTTGGGTAGCATTGAAAATTGGATTGGGCAAATGTTTTGTTAGTGGGATGAATTGTAAAGGACCTGCCTAGTATGGGCCAACAGGCCTCCTGCAGTCTTCCTCCTTTCTTATGTTCTTATGTTCTTATAATATCCATGGTTTATAAAGGGGTGGAGGGGTAAGCCAGTGGAAGGCCTCGGTTATATGACCAAAAGCTCCAGCTGCGGGTCATCATATGACTAAGACCCGCATTAGAAAATACTTGTCCTGTTTCTTGACAAACCTGACCTAACCTAAATCTCCTTCGTGTCAGTGTGACTTTGTAAATATCCCAAATCGGACCGAAACATCGTCCTAAGCCCCTCTCACCTATGTGCGGGTTATTTGTGTATTGGTCCAGTCACGTAATGTGGCTTTTTCTTCTTCGCAGTGTTCTTGCTCTAATTGGCTGTCATAAGTCCCAGTTTGCCAATTTTGTTAAATTGGGATATTCATTTTTAATCAATAACTAAAGACTTGTCACTTCTGACAGCTTCCCGCAGAGTAAAACAATATTGTCAACTGTCATACGTGGAATACTGTCAACTTCATCGGGTTAAATATTTGACAATTACAGGAGGTTAAATATTTGACAACTGTAATGGATTAAATGTTGACAACTGCAGAGGCTAAAAACATTGACAGCTGGGTCAGGTTAAACGTGGAAGGCTGGGGCAGGTTAAACAGGGAAGGCTGGGGCAGGTTAAACGTGGAAGGCTGGGGCAGGTTAAACAGGGAAGGCTGGGGCAGGTTAAACAGGGAAGGCTGGGGCAGGTTAAACAGGGAAGGCTGGGGCAGGTTAAACAGGGAAGGCTGGGGCAGGTTAAACAGGGAAGGCTGGGGCAGGTTAAACAGGGAAGGCTGGGGCAGGTTAATCGTGGAAGGCTGGGGCAGGTTAAACAGGGAAGGCTGGGGCAGGTTAAATATGGAAGGCTGGGGCAGGTTAAATATGGAAGGCTGGGGCAGGTTAAATATGGAAGGCTGGGGCAGGTTAAATATCGAATGATGGGACAGGTTAAACATTGACACCTGGGACAGGTTAGAAACATTTAACTCTCGTCCAGAGTAAAACAAAAAAGCATCAAGCAACTGCTGAGAATAAACATTACACGCTGCTAACTCCAGGTTACAAACTCTGTCTGCCTAAGTGATATGAAGCATAACGTTCAGCAGCGTCTCATACAATTTCTATTTTTGTCCCCTCACCGGAGAACAGACGATGTTTTTAACTCTCTTGTTGAGAGATTTCGCCCAAAAATGTTGTGTCTCAAATGAGCAGAGAGACAGTGTCAGATATTAAATTATCGGGAGGGAGGGTAGATGGAAGGGTGGGAGAGAGGGAGGGAGAGAAGGAAGGAGGGAGGGAGGGTAGATGAAAGGGTGGGGGAGAGAGAGGGAAAGAGAGAGGGTAGATGGAGGGAGATGGGGAGAGGAAAAAAGGTAGATAGTAAGGAGGGAGGGAGGAAAGAAGGGAAGGAGGAAGGGAGGAAGGAAGAGAGAGAGGGAGGAAGGGAGGAAAGGAAGGAGGTAATAAATACCCAAGAAATACGAAGAAAGACTGAAGACAAGGAAGACATCCTTTTTGGAACACAAGACACAAGGAGATACCTTAACATTTAAATAAATAAAAGAATTTAAAAAAATGAGAATTTCTTGGAACTTCCAATAGACAGAAAATGAAAGGGAGGGAAAAGAGACACAGGACAAGAATAGTAAGTTTTTTCTTAAACAGGAACTGCTGACAGCTGCTGTCAGTACTGGAAACTTGAAACATACACGATAGCTTAATTGTAGTAGAGAGGAAACACTGAATACACACACACACACACACACACACACACACACACACACGAGGTAGGATCTATACATAGCTTTAAGAAGAGGTATGATAGAGCTCATGAAGCAGGAAGAGTGACCTATTAGCGGCCAGTGAAGAGGCGAGGCCAAGAGCTGTGAATCGACCCCTGCAACCACAACTAGGTGAGTACAGCTAGACGAGTACACACACACACACACACACACGCACACACAAGTGCTAAACCGTGCGTAATTTCGACAAAGGCAAGCTTAATTAAGCTGGCATGGATGATTCATTAGGGAGCATGATGGCTGTGTGAGGTGGACCCAGCTGGTTGAAGACACTGAATCACAGAGAGCTTCATCTCTCTCGCTGTATATACACCGAGAGGTGTATATCTCTCGCAGCATACTCTCTGAAAGTATATTGTAATTCATATTTTGCAGTGGTCAATTTCCAGGAGAATTGCAGCCTTAATGACCACCTCTGACGCAGCGATAGCGACTTTTGACTTTGCTAATTATTATTAAATATTAGCCGGTATTCTCCCGGCCCGGGCCTTTTCCAAGTGGTGGCCCGGCCTTGGCTCCCTCTTTAGGGAATGTCTGAGACCTAAGTCTCCCATGGGAGGAGGCACAAGTACCTCCTCATCTTTGGGACCAACTGTCCCCAGGCCTAGCCACAAGCTAGGCCTCTCTGGTCTGCCATCCCCGCCCCAAGGGGGCAAATGGGAATGACAGTCTTATGAGCTAAAGGCTCGGACTCAGGCACCTACCCGACCCTAGAAGGGTTAGGCATGGTGTCGATCTGACTTTGCTAAAAGCATCACGAACTTACAACAAAAAGCAATAAAAATCTACCACAAGGAGGAAGCAGAAATGGAAAAAGTGGAATCACACACACAGCTTTAAGAATAGCTACGACAGAGCCAGTGAGGTTAAAAATTTAAGTAAAAACCGGTTAAAAGCTGAGGTAGGAGCTGTTAATAAACAGCCAGAAATAGATGAGATGTGCCACCAGACAACAAAGCAAAAGGTCTGAAATGTCTTCACAGAAGCGAACATGGGAAGATACATAAAGGCGATCAGATCTCCATAATGCAAATTCGTGCAGGTAATTTAGCATGCAGTCGATGCAAAGCTAATTCAGATGCTATTCAGAATGTTCGGTGATTCGCAATTAAGCTCCGGGATTTCCTCTCTGTGT